CACCAGTGTTACTATCAGATCATAAGGCAGTCTGCGTTTGGCACCCAGGCCAGGTTGTTTAAGGGTTAAAGGCACTGCTGGAGGTGGGTCCAGTTACAGACCCCATAGGGCACAGCAGCTGAGTTATAGAAATTCTGATCCAATGGGACTAGGATGTAGCAAAAAAGTTCAGTACACACTGAGTATTCACAAAAATAATAGAAAAATAAAATTCACCTTTCTACAGGTAAAGAATCCTTGTATCAAATCTCATCACAAAATCTTTTTTTCCTGTTTCTTACTCTCTAAGCACAGACTTTTAGTACATAAACCCAAAAACTATAGATTCACAAAAAACAATCCCAAAAAGTCCATAAAAGTGCTTTTCCCATGGGAGACGACTGAACCTAACATATCCCATTAATCATCTTAATAATTTTTACATTTATTGAGGGTCCCTAGAATTGCAAAAATAAGTTTTTTTTCCTAAAGACAAAATATTCCCAAATATTAAAAAAAAGTTGAATGTCACAGATATTCCTTCTGTCTACTTTATACAATTCGACCCACAATACTCTGAAATCCTAAGCATGCTTTACTTCTGGAGAGAAATTCCAAACCCACTAAATTTCTAAAAATCACCCTGCAGTCACCTTACAGGCCACTGATTGTCATGTTCCATGACTCAACACTCAGGGTCACTCCAGGTCAACAGGGCTGTGTGAAATAACCCACAGAGACAGAGAAATACCTTTTCCTCTGCGTCCTGTGATGGCTCCTCTGACTTTAGGGGCCTTTGGAAAGAGAGAGAGGTCTCCTGTGCTGAAGCCTTTTATTGGGAAGAAGCCATTCAAATGCGGCAAGGGGTCAGGATTCAGGGGCTGAGTCTAGCTTCATGATGTCTGCTGTCAGAGGGTGACCAGCATCTAGGGAGGCCATGGCCATCTATGAGCTGTGTGGGGATCATGGCAGAGTGAACTAAGAAAAGACCAGAGCGAGGCCTGTCCAAACAGAGGGGCAACGTGGGTCCAGTCCACCTTGTGTGCTCAGGGCCCACAGATCACACACACAGCCCGTGGCCGGCTGGCCACATCTCCACATTCTCGTCACTCAAAGACCAGGGGCTATGGCAGCTCCCACACTATTCTTCCTCTTTACTTCTATCTCTTTCCTTCTTGCCCCTGACCTTTCCTGTAGCATTTTTCTTCTACTATTATGAAATACTGCACAGTGATTCCCTCAAGATCCAGCTGTGTAACCTAGCTGACACAAAACTAAATTTTGGTTGATCAAAACCTAAACATAAATGTTGAAGCCACAAAAAGAACTTGAAGAAAACTAGAAAAAAATGTGAAACATACTTTTGAGGGGAGGGTTATCCTTTTAAGCAAGATATGAATCCAATACGTACTAAAAAAAAAAGTCTTTTTAAAATTTTTTTGTAGTTTTACACAATAACTTTTATTTATTTATTTATTTTTATGTGGTGCTGAGGATTGAGCCCAGGATTTGCATGTGTGAGGCGAGCGCTCTATGGCTGAGCCATATCCCCAGCCCCCTAAAAAAACTTTTGATAAATTTGAATTCATAAAATAATATCTTGGCTTCTGGATAAAATAAACTGTAATTGACTTAAAGAAATTAATCACACCTCCAATAATTTTTCACAGAAATACAAAAAAGCCTCCTAAAATTTGTTTGAAACAATAAAAGACCCCAAATACCAAATGAAAAAGTATAAAACTGGATGTCTCACTCACTGATTTCAAAATACAATGTTATTATGATTAAAACAGGAGGGTACTGGCACAAAAGCAGACACATTAACCAATGGAAAAAGAAGAAATTCCATAAATAAACCCAGTGTTTACAGTCAGTTGATGTGATGTTTGACAAATGTGCTAAGAATGTAGAACGGGGAAAGGACAATGTCTTCAGTAAATGCATATGGGAAGATGGGAGAGCTACATGCAGAGGAAGGAAATACGATTCAAACTCACCTCATATGAAAAAATCAATGCAAAATGGATGAAACACTGAATCATAAAATTTGGAACTATAAAGCCTCTAGAAGAAAACATAAAAGTTCCATGAGCTTGGGTGGTAACTTCTTGACTAGGATTCCCAAGCACAGACACCAAAGCAAAAACTGACAGAATTGCATCAAATTAAAATCCTTTTGCACAGCAAAGGAAACAACAGAGTGAAGAGACAGCCCCTGTCTTGGGAGAGAATATTTGCAAAGCACACGTATGATATGGGGCCAATAGCCCTAATGTATAAAGAACTAAGTAACTCAATAGAAGGAAACAGGTAAGTTGATTTAAACATGGGCAAAAGATTTGAAAAAGTATTGCTCAAAGAGAGAAATGAACAGCAACATAGCTATAAAAAATCCTCAGCATCTCTAATCATCAGGGAAATGAGAATTGAAGACACATGAGGTACCCCTTCCATCTGTTAGCATGGCTCCCATCTAGCACGTGCCAGACGATGTGCTGGGAGCTTTCAATCCCTGGCCTCCTGTAGTTAATACCCTGACTTCAAGTCAGGTAAGAAAACTGCAGTCTAGTCTAATTGAGTCACCAACCCAAGGTTATACTTCAGCAGGACCGGACTTGATCTGAGAAATGGGTCCAATTCACTGGACAAGGCTGCCTGTCTAGGTCAAGGAAGGTGCTGGGTGGATTGGTTAAGAAGAAAATTTCTGTTTCACTTGTTCTCCTTGAGGAAATACCCATGTTCTCTTTCCCAATGCTCTAGGTGCCTGCAGCACTTTAGCCAAGAGTTCTGGAGCTCATGGTTCTAGGATTAAAGGTTTTAGAACCCGCACTTATCTGAAGGCGATCCAAGGAGGTTCAGTCTTGTTGCAAGTGATCCAGGAGCCAGAGGATCCCAAGATAGAGGAGATCATCTGGGGTGTCATCACCTCTAATTCAAACTCCACATTCATGCTGAGACTCCAAAATGGGAAGGAAGATCCACTGTGGTTCCGTCTTCAGGACAAGTATGATCAGAGGGTCCAGGTGCCCAGTATGTCATCCCTGAGGATTAACAATTTGACCTCACAGGACAGTGGGCAGTACTGGGCCCAGGCCATGTTTCAGAGGAGAAGAGAAATTAAAGCAGTTTTCCACCTCACTGTTTATGGTAAGTGACAGTGTCACCTAGTCCCAGGGCCGGCCTCCTTCCTTGAGTCTAGGAGGCTCTGAGACCACATGCTGCAGGATTCTCTTCAGGCACCAACACATCAGATATTCATCACAAACAGTAGAGCTGAGGTTTATACCAGGGAGAAAAATCACATCTGTGTTTTGGGAGAGAAAATGGAAATTTGGCCATTTTTTCATAACATTTCTTCCTCTTTTTAAGACTAAATTTACTGCTTTTGTGTATTAGTTTTCCTTTGTTGTTTTAACAATGTATAATCATGGTTTAAAACAACACAAATGTGATCCACAATGTGCTGCAGGTTGAGGTCAGACACGGTTGTCACAGTGTCCAAGTGTGGGCAGGGCTGCATTTTGTTCTGCAGGATCTAGAGGGGATACTTTCCTCCCTTTCGTACTCTCCAGAGCTGCCAGCCTCCCTGGACTTGTGGTCCCCTCCTCTGCCTAAACTAGAAATGGAGGGGAAGTCTCCCTTGCATCCCTCATACCTGCTCTTTGCCTTCCTCTAGTTTTTGTTTTGTTTTGTTTTGTTTTGTGTTTTTGGTACTGGGAATTGGATCCTGGGGTGCTTAACCACTGAGCAACATTCCCAGCCTTTTTTATTGCTTCATATTTGTTTAAAAGAGAGGGGTGGGTTTAATATTTATTTTTAGTTCTCAGCGGACACAACATCTTTGTCTGTATGTGGTGCTGAGGATTGAACCCGGACCGCACGCATGCCAGGCGAGCTCGCTACTACTTGAGACACATCCCCAGCCCTGCTTCATATTTTTGAGACAAGGTCTTACTAATTTGCTTAGGACCATGCCAGGTTGCTGAGGCTGGCTTTGATCTTCACATCCTCCTGTCTCAGCCTCCAAAGCTCCTGGGATTGGGGGTGTGCACCACCATGCCCGACTCTTTCTTCCACATTTAAGGGTCCTTGTGAGGATTCTGGGACTATCCAGAAAATCTGATTTAAAGCTCAGTTCTTTTTTTCATAACTTAGCATATTCACAGGTTCTAAGGATAAAGATGTGGACTCAGTGGGACATGATTGTTGTCCCACGTTGGGAATCCACATGTATCTAACTCACCGTCCCCAATCCTTGCAGGGAGTGGCCAGTGAGAGGCGAGCCTCACTTCCACAGACCCCACAAATCCTGCTCTGCAAGACTTGATAAGATAGGAGAAGTGATGCTGCTGCAAGCCCCAGAAGATTCATTTTTCCAACTCTAGGGTCCCCACAGTCCCTCTCTGCATAGGGAAATCCCTCTGCATAGAGTGGACTGCAGGTGCAGGTCCTGTGTGATTTCCAGACTGGCCTGTGGATCTGCCCCTTCTCCCCCAGTCGGGAGCACACATTCAGGGTCACGTTCTAACTGCCTGCAGAGCTGTGCTCTCTGTTGCAGCCACAGTATCCCTCACAGTGTCTCCTCTTTTGACATCGAGCTTTCTGGGTCCTCCCAGAGCTGGCCTGGTGTCCTGCCCCAGTTGGGCTATGAGGTCCCAGGCATTGGCTAAGCTGAAGACACAAGACACAGGACCCTGGTCCCAGACAAGCTCTTCTGTCCTACGCTTCCTCCCCTTCCAGAAGACCCCTATCTTCTAGAAAAATTGGTCCCTAAAAACTGGGATTCAGCCATCATGTTCTCATGGGAAAAAAAGTTTAGACTTGCTTCATCTAGTGAGATCACATGAGCTTAATAAAGTGGCTGCTGTCACTTGTCAACATGTAGCTCTGGGGAAATTGTGCTTTATTTGTAACGTGCTCCCAGCTTTCTCCTAAGGCTCCTGCCTCTGGCATTGAGAAACTGAAGAACAATGTGTGGCATGTGCGAGGCTGTCTCCTTTTGTCCCCTCCTTCCTCAGATCCTGTGCCCCTTGCCCAGATCCGGACCACGTCAGCGTCCATCACGCCCAGCTGGTGCAATGTCACTCTGGAGTGTGGGGCCCGAGAGGCTGTAGAGGTCCTGAGTGTAACCTGGGAGGTCCAGGGCCCTCGCAGTGAGC